AGGACGCCGACCTCAGAGAGGAATCTCTCGAAGTCGGCGAGACTCCGATTCGGCGAGAAGTACACCCCGACCACCAGGATGTCGCCGACGAGGGCTGCCACGTATCCTCGGCCTCGGACCACGTCCGCAAAGGCCGGAGAGCCTGCGACGGACCGGGACGTAAGGGCCACCAGGCCGTCCGCGTCCCCTACCCATTCGTTCCCAGACGGGACCCGGTAGGGCTCGGCCACCACCGCCACATGTATCTTCCACTCCGCCATGCTCTGGAACAGGAGGTCCTGAGCTCTGGCGGAGTGGTTGATGTTGGCTTGGAGGAGGTTTATGGCCATTATCCGATGGCCATTGGAACCTCCTCAGCCCCCGGCGCCGCCGCCTGGTTGGGTAGGTGCGAAGACTGTCCGGCCGTCTGGCTCGGGCCGTCCCCTCCTGCTCTTCTGGTTTTCCTCCCTTTGAATGGGGGGACGCACGCCTTGCTTCCGGCGCGGTGTTCCGCAGGGGCACCGGCCGCGGCGCAGACGACGCAGTGAGGCGCCGCCGTGCATCCGCGGGCCTTGTGCCCTGGTTGTCCGCACCGGAAGCATACACCGGTGCGATCCGCCCCCTCTTTGCACTGGCCAGAAAGGTGTCCTGGAGCCAGGCATCTGTAGCATATGGTGGGCCGGGGATCCAGCAACCTTGCCTGGGCGGACACCCAGCCCACCAGTAGGCGACCGTCTGTCACAATTTTCTTGGCAGCCACGACGGGACACTGGACCACTATTGAGCCCAGTCCGTCGCGGCCGGTTGACATGGCGCCAGCCCGCAGCTGCTCGGCAGGGCACCCTCCCGCAGCAGCAATGGCGGCGACCACCTCAGCCGCGGTGGTGGCGTCGTCCAGGCCCGCCACCCGTAGGGCCGCCGTCTTGATGGGACGAGAGACGCGGACGACTCCATCGTCCAGAATCTCCCGCAGCCTTTGGGCCAGGGAGTCCGCCTTCTCGCCACTGGAGGCGCCCGGGAACTCGAAAACGCGTCCCCCGTTGGCGGCCTTCCGAAGGCGAACACCCTGGGCTCCGAAGTCGGCCGGGTTGATTCTTTCTTTGGCCGAGGCGATGACACTGGCGTAGGTGGCTCCTCGCTCCACCGCGCCCGGTTGCAGTGTAATGATAACTGCCGACGACCGGGGCGCCTGCAGTTTAGCAGCACCGCTCTTCACTTGGGGCCGCCTTTTGGGGCCCACCTTTATCCACTCGCCAACCGCGGGCTGCGAATCCTGCTGCCCGGGTGGCGAGGCCTTCTTCTTCTTGTTCTTCTTTCTTTTCTTCTTCCTCTCTTTTCCTCCACTAGGGGGAGAGGACGTCCCCTGGGTCTTAGGCCGGGTCTGGGCTGCACCCGATGGGCGCTGCTGCGGCGCCGATGGGACCCTGCGTTGCGTGCCGCTAGGGCCGGGTTGAGCCGCCAATTGGGGTGGCTGTCGGGCGAGCTTGGCAGCGTATGTGCCCTCGCCTTTCTTCTTATCGGCCGCGAGGGGCGGCCGTAGGTTCCTCTCCGGGAGAAGTCTGTCTTCCAGCGAGGCCAGGCGGGCGTTCATCATCCCGCCGACCTGGACCATCACTGCACGACAGATCTCCTCCACGGAGAGCGCCTCGTTCGGTGAATGCGGGGGCCGTGATGCGGGGGCGGCCTCCATCGACACGTCCGGGTCAGGGTGGCCCGCGGAACCCCGTTTCCGCAGGTCATCCTTTATCGCCTCCATCTCCTTGCGGAGAGAGTCCATTTCGGCGCGCAGGCGGGCATTATCCGCCTGCAGCTGCCGAGTCTCCTCTGTTTGGGTGCGGGCCCCGAGAACTTCCACCGCATCCTTGATGGACGCCGCGGCGTCCTTCAAGGCCCGCACAAAGGTACCTTTCAAGCTGGAGGACTTGGTCGCCACTTTGGTGATGATCTCCAAGTCCTCCCGTACCTGCTCTTGGATCTGAGCGGCGTCCTTTCCTCCTGCCGCTGGGCGAGGAAACAGTGCTGCCCGCGTTTCCCGCCGGAAGCGAGCAAGCCCTGTTTCTTTCACCAAGTCCTCTTCCTTGCTTGCGGCCCGAGCCTTGGCCGCCGCCCTCTTCTCTTGTTGGCGCCACTTCGCCGTCACTGGGGACGCCGCTCGGTCATCATCCGTCGAGCAATCACTAAGGCGGGGCCGTTTCGCGCCAAACCACTCCGACGCGACGACGGGTCTGCAGTCGGAACCCGATGCCGCCCCATCGTCGCAGTCCATCCTCGCAACGGGGTCTGGTGTGTCGCTGACAGCCGGGAGGCATTGCTGCGAGGCGCTCAAGACCTCGATGGGAACGCGCTCCAGCACCACTCTCGCCTCCTTCATCAGGACACCATCCAGGGATGGGCGCCTCGTCGCCTCCATAACCAAATCGCTTGCAAACATTTCCGTTGTCATTGCCTGGGTCGTTGTTTTATGTGAAAGGCAGTCTTTGCCCCCCCCAGAATACGAGGGGCAGCCCGCGGCCGAGGCCGCGGGGAGGGATTCTCCTCCAGCTAAGCTGGAGGTACCCTCCTGGGGTAATTCTGTATTTAGATTTGCCATTTCCATATGTTTCCAGTGTTGTCGGACACCGGAAACCGCCTTTGATACGGGGTGAGGTCCCCCCTCACTCGCGGCCTAGCAGG